GACAACATTGATTGTATAACTGTTAAATGCCGACCTAAACACTTATCTAAGTATAACTGCATTTTTGTCACAAATATCTATGTCACACCTTGTTGCACTCCCTCAGAACTATCGATATTTGCTGACGAATTCACTATTTTTGCTGCTGCTTCATTTGGTAACTCCTTGTCTGTAGTGACTGGTGACTTCAACGCCAGTGACTACAGTTTTATTACATTACTGGGTCATGACAATGTGGTTAACTTCCAAACTCGACAAGATACTTCACTTGATTTAGTATTTATAAATGATTCTGGAATATACAAAGCTAGTAAAAGATCTCCGCTCTTAAACTCTGATCACTGTATTGTACGAGTTCTACCCAAAGTTTACGGAAAGTTACGGAAAAAAGCCTTCTATAACTTGTCCAAGAAAGTTGTTCACAAATGTTACTCAAATGAGAACGTACAACATCTTAGAAACATGCTCCGTGACACAAGATGGGATCTGTTTAATGGTGTTTCGCTTGATGACACTATCTCTAATATCACATCTTATCTGAAATTCTGTTTTGAAAACTGCTGCCCAAAAGAAATACTATTCGTCAAATTTGACTGTTTCTCCTCCCCTCAACTTAAAAAGCTTCGTAGAGAGAAGGAGAAGCTATATAAAATGAAAGATAAAAGTGGTATGAAAAGAACCACCTTGCTTATCAAGTCTGAAATGCAGAGGGTGAATGTTATGTATAACCAGAAATTCATATCCTGCAAAAATGCTTCTAATATGTGGAAACTATTTAAGGAAATCACTGGTGGTAAGCAGATAAACAATATTCCGTATTCTTCTGATGTATGTACTCTTAACAAATCTTTTATTTATTCTTCCTCAAATTCCATGCTTCTCAGTATCACTAGTATTAATAATAGCCCCTTTCCAAGTTTTAACACAAATTATGTTCAAAAGTGACTCAAGTCTCTGAACCCTTCCCAGAGCTTATGTCCAGATCATGTACCTAGTATTATTTAAAAAAAATGTTCTGATATTCTATGTTACCCTCTCACTGATCTGTTTAACAAATCTTTTTCCAGTAATATTGTGCCTGCCGTTTGGAAAGACATTAAAGTTGTACCCATACTAAAATCGTCTACTGGAGCATGTGTCAAATTTAGACCCATTGCTATTACCTCTCCTTTTTCGAAAGCTATGGAGACGCCAGAGTGCACCTGACCCAAAATCTCCAAATGACCTGCAAAAGTAACCACAAATTAGGCGAAATAGACTTTAATATACAAAATATAGACTCAGCGATTAAGACTTTGAAGTCTAATGGTAGTACTGGAACAGATGACATACCATCTGTCATGTACAAAAATGTA